TGCCCCAAGCCTCAGCAGCAACACACACAATTGTACAGAAGCATAAGAGGGAATGAGAAAATGAGGCTTCAGGGCAGGGACTCTTTATGTGTGTGTGTGTGTGTGTGTGTGTGTTTATGTCAGCAACTGAAGGAGTTTTAGAAAGGGAATTTGTGCAAGCATGCAAACCTCTACAGGTATCCCTGTATGTGCATGTTGTTGTTTTTGTGCATGTGTCCATGTACATGTATGTACACTAAGACCCTTAAGGGCAAAAACAGGAGAATGAGAGTGTATAATAATAATAATACTGCAGGGTTCCCTGAGCAGCGTGTAAATATGGATACAATGGAAATGCACTATGCAATTATGGCTGACTTCATGCATTTTTCACTCGCTGGGAGAACAGGGTGAGAGAGGGGGAGATTAAAGAGAGAGAAGGGGAGAAATTCGGAAAGAACAAACAGGAGAGGGGCAACTGGGAAAGGAGAGAAAAAAGGAGAGGGCCGGAGAAGAAACGAGAAGGGGGAAGAGGTGAGGAAGAAATGAATATTTAGAGGGGGAAGAGAGGAAGAAGAAAGGTAGAGCAGGGGGGGAGGAATATGAGGAAAGGGTACATTCAGAGATGAAGGAGCAGGAATAGAAGGGAGGAATGGGTAAAGGAGAGAAGCAGAAGAGGAGAAGAAAAAAGTAGGTATGGAGAAGACAGACAGGAAAATATTTAAGATAGAGAGGAGAAGCCAGAAGAGGGTGGGTAAACTGTAGAAAAAAGGGACAGGAGAGAGAAATGAGACGAGAGAAGAGGAGAAGAAAAAAGGCAAAAAGAGGTGTAACACAAGAGAATAAAGGAAAACAAAGAAGATGAGGACTGGAAGCAGAGTGAAAAGGACGAAAGGAGGAGACAGAAAGGGGAGAGGAGAGTCACATGTCATGCACAGAAACAAACAGACACAAGGGTGTGCTCTATCCCTTTCTTTACCTTTCTCTTTTCCTGACATAGTACACACAGACAGACTAATATACACACACACACACAGACAGTAATCTCCATTCTCTAAATTCTGAAATGCCTGATTGATTATGACAGAATTCAGAGGATGTCTTCCTATGTCTTACACTAGAATATCACCACACACTGTCACCCTCTTCTCTGGCACACACAGAGACACACACAAACACACGTACACACACACACTTTGCTTTTCTGTCATCTTGTCACCCCCCTGCCACGAGCACAGGGGAAAAACACTATTCGGCTTTAGGAAACAAATTAATTCACGTGTCGGGGATCAACTCTCTGACTGGGAGCTAGCAGAAAGCCTCTGACAGCCCTGCTGCTCTTCTCCCCAGAGCATTTTATGAAAACTTGTTTTGGGAAGTAGAACTTTAATGCTGTATCTAATGAATCCCAGTGAAAAAAAACTTGATGTTTTAGCAATATGCCACAATGCAGAAGCAGAGTTACAGTGACATTTCTCATCTCTGAACTTCAAAAACCTAGAGATACCCAATGCTTAGTGAAGTGACTGACATTTTGTTCTTCAGTTTGATCTCTCAGCTCTGTATTTGCACATACTTTAGCATTCAGTGAGTGCACTCTAAAGTCAGGGAGAATTGGTGGGTAAGCACAATATCACTCTCAATCGATGCTTTTTATCATAAGCCCAAACACTTTCAACACAGACAGCTCCAAACTGAATAGGAAGTGAGGACAATTACAGAGCACAGCAAAAAGCACAGTGGGTTGTCAGGCAATGAAGCTCATTTAACAATAACTACTCCAGCAGCAATCCTTCCTCATAGAGTTACTATGCCAATGATAACATGGTTTAAGAAAGATGCTATTCCTCAAACAAAGGTATAAAAAGAGAATAAAGGCAAATCAGTTATCTTCTACTCTTAGATGCTGTAGGGGGAAAAAAACCTGCAAAATGCCTGAAAGCCCACACAGGGAGAAATAAATTTGTCTCTCAATTTAAGTTTTGAAGATGAAAAGCAGTGAGACTCACTTTTAGTGGCATTTATATTCTGATAATCTACCTGTTCAATTAGAGACTGAAATAGTTTTTTCCTAAAATGCCTCTCACCTCTGTTGCAGAACGGGCCATCATAGGCAGTGGTGGTGCAGTCACACAAGTAGCCATTATACTTCTCCACGCACTTCCCTCCGTTCCGGCAGTACATCCCAAAACTGGTACAGTGGCCTTGGCAACCGGGCTTGACCCCAGGCGTGACCTTGGCCCTCTCTTCCAGGTCGAGGGTGATGCCGTTCATCCGTAGGGCTCGGATACAGCCCAGGAACCCCCTCTGCCCCCCTGCAGCACCTGAGGAGCAAGGGAAGGTGGCATCAGTGTAGCATTGGGAGATAGGAAAGAAAACAAATAAAGAAAAAGGAAGGGAGGACTAGTGGAGGGTCACAGAAGTCATTTTGAATGCAAGACGCCGTTTTAATCTCTTTCAGAAGGGTTAATATCCCAACGCCTGGAGGAAGCCACTGATGTCACGTTAATCGTTCCGACTGTGATGCCGTTCTTGAAACAACCTTCAACTCGTTTGATTTCTTCACTAATTAAAACAGCCTAATGAACACTATGTCTTAATGAACATCTCACAAGCATACACACACACGCAAATGGATGCATGAATGCACTTATAGTACATACAACAGACAAAAATACACACAGTTACAACACACCACACACAGCGCACCTGACTCGAACGAGTCAATATAAGCATTAATGCTTAGCCTTGGGGTGTCAATAGCCGTTCCTCTAAAGTGCTTCCATCGTCATTCTGGCCTTGCACCATTACAGTCTAACTACCCATTAACTTGGACAGAGTATGGGTGTTAAATAGATTAATGTGAACCTAAATGACTATAGCAATAAACACACTCATAAACATACACCCACAGGTATAGATTCAAACGTACACAAGCACACCCACAGAGGTTACAATGTATGGATAAACACACGATGCACACTACACACTATCATACAATGATGCACACTATCATTAACAAGAGCCAAGGGGCATTTTAGTTATTAAAACCTCTCAATTGCATCCTTTGGATTACAGAGAAGTGTCCATTCAGGAAGACATGATAAGGAGACTTGAACACATACTGTTTCCTCCCCCAACAGCTGCATTCTCACACACACACACACACACACACACACACACACATCTGCTAGCTTAGCCACACAGATACAACACAGATATAATGAGATCACTAATACATGTTTTTTGATTTTCTCAAGCCAATACATTATTCACATATTAGGATGCAGCTGAGCTTTCACATGCTTTCTCCACTTTCCATTCCCACACCGGATTTGACTTTTAGTAGACCTGTTAATTAATCTATTTTGTACCACTGATTGGCTGGAGGTTTCTGCCACCTGTTTACCCACGTCTAAATCAGTCTCTGATTAAACGGACAGCAGGCTCTGAGGCCTGCGGAGACCAGGGCAGACACGTACACAGGCAGAAACACACACACACACACACACACACACACACACACACACACACACATACCCATACACAGGTGCAGTCAGTTTCTGTATAACTCACAAAT